GAGAAGAAGAAGGTAGCGGGAGGGGAAGAATGAAGCGGGGGAAATCGGAGGGGGAGACGAACCACGAGAGGCGGTGGACTCTGAGAAACAAACTGAAGGTTCTAGAGGGGAGGGGGTGGGGGGATGGGTCAGCCTGGTGGTGGGTATTGAGGAGGGCACGTTCTGCATGGAGCACTGGGTGTTATGCACCAACAATGAATCATGGAACACTACAACAAAAACTAATGATGTATGGTGATTAACATAACAATAAAAATTAAAAAAAAGAAAGACAAATACTATACAATCTCACTAAAATGTGGACTCTAAAAAAAAAAAAAAAGAGAACTCACATATACAGAGACCAGACTGGTGGTTGCCAGAGTTGGGTGTGGGGGGTTGGTGAAGGCGGTCAAAAGGTACAAAATTCGAGTTATAAAATAATTAAATCATGGGATGTATTGTACAGCATGATGACTACATTTGATACTATACTGTATATTTGAAAGTTGTTAATAAAGTGAATCTTAAAAGTTAAAAAAAAAGATGGCTACAATGATTCAGGTAAGAAGTCATGGTGGTTTAGCAGCAGTAAGGTTGGAAGAGTGGTGAAAGGGTTTGATAAATATCTTGCAAATAGAATGGATGGTACCTGACAATAGATTGGTTGGGAGGAGTGTGAGGGAAATGTTAACCACTAATCCTAGGATGCTGGTTGGATAGTGGGATTAAGAGATTAGAAAGGAAACTCATTTGGGAGAGAAAAATTGACAGTTAAGTTTTGAGCAAATTAAATGTAAGAAGTCTTTGAAACATAAAGGTAAATATGCCAAGAAGAGTGCTATGTATCAGTCTGGGGCTTCGAAGATATCTGAGCTGGAGTTATAAATTTGGGGATTATTAGATAAAGATGGTATGTAAAGAGAGGCCCTTTGTAACGTTTCGGAGAACACTGCCAGTGGAGGTGGGAGATGGGTAGGCAGGTTCCAAGTTACAGTGGGTTAAGAAGAAGTTAGACAACAGACAAGACATAGACCAATCTTTTAAGCAGTTTGGAGAAAAAGAAAGCAGAGAGATTAAGAAAAGCTTAAGGAGAGATGTGGGCATAGGGCAGAGGTGTTTATGATGAGTTTTCAGGCTGGGAAGAGAGGTAGCAGACAGGGTGAGGCTGAGGCTCTAGGAGAGCAGGAGTAGAAGTGTGTGTGAACTTGAGAAGATCAATTCCCAGGGGAGGAAGAGATGAAATCCTGAACACAAGGGTCAGATCAGTCTATACAGGGAATAGAAGTACCTCTTCCTTTGAAATGCAGGGGGCTAACTCAGCATGGTGAAGATATAAGGAAGTCTAGAAGAAGACAGATGAAACCATTAGGAGATTTCAGACCTGAAATGGCTTCTACCTTTTTGGGTAGAGGTAACACTATCTGCTGAGATTTTCCTCAATTGTTGCTGCAAGGAATGGGAAAAGGCACTTGAATCCTCCACAACTATTATTGCAAACCCTTTCTATATCTCCAGGAAGCTTGTGGCTATCAAGCCTTCACATGATAGCTTTATTGATTTCAAATTCCAAATCCTCTTAATACTAAATTCCTTGATTGCATTTTCTATGTGCCATTAACTCATTTTATAGCAGCCCAGGGCCAAGAAGCTATTAATGGGCTCCAAGTTCAAGTAAATTTTCAATTTTACAAGGCTTTATGGCCTTTCCAATTTTACTTGACTAGGTGACATTAAAGTAAAGCAAAACATCTTTAATTTGTCTCAAAGGACATAACCAAGAAAAACATTTCCCCATCCTTGGGATGGTGATGGAAGAGAACATAAGCCAGTAAATTTTGTAAGATAGGTCAAGTTTCCACTCTATTGGTCACAAAAGTGTGATTCGTGCAATCTTACATTGGCAGAATGTCCACTTTATCATTCTTATTTCACAACTAATACTAGAGCTTCTCATTTGTAATCACTTTAAAGCTCAGTTATAGTCTTCATAAACTGTCAGTTCAGGGAGAGCTGTTTCAGCAAATAATGCAATACAGGTCTCTTCATGAAGAGTTAAAAAATAGATGACTGACAGATTCAGTACTTACTGATACTTAGCAACATATTGATTATGTATGCAGGCAAAAACAAGCAAATCTCATTCAAACTCCGTATTATTAAAGATTTTTTATTTATTTGACAGAGAGAGACACAGCAAGAGAGGGAACGCAAGCAGGGGAGTGGGATATATTTGCCATATGTTACTTAGTTACTTGAAGTTATTACTCTGAAGATTTAAAATCTCTTTACAGTGGTTAATTAAAAAGGGATACATTTTAAGTAAAACATTAAGCTAGGCAATGTTGTCATTTGAGGCCTTTAAATTTTTTTTTTAGGTTAACATCAATGGAATCAAGGACTACTCGGTTGCCTGCATCCACAGACTGTCTACCCTCTCTCTCCACAGTTGCAATCATTTGACCTTTGATCTAAAAGCAAAATTCTGCTTCAGCTTCTGAGATCTATTTATCAGGGATAATTTTAGGAAATACAGACCAGTCTTTGGTTGATTCAGCATCCTCAACCTAGCTGAGTGGTTCCAATTGGTATTACGCTTCTAATCATTTATGTTCTGCTGCCTTGCTCACCTACTGACTGCAGGATTCTGTGATGGAAAGTATATCATCTGGGTTTGAATCCCCATTTTACCACTATCCTTGCCCTGTGTTCCTGGGTAAGTTATTTAATTCTCTGAGCCTCAGATACATACTCTCTCAAATGTTGTTAGAAATACTTACATTCCAGAGGTGTTATATTAATGTCTAGCTTTTGTTTGGCAAGTAGAAGACAGTTCCGTTTTTTACCCCCTTTCTCCCAGGTTCCTGCCTTCATAGACTCCACATTGCACCAGTTCTCCAGGCCTGAGTTTTGCTTTACTTTAGGTAAATATCTTTAGGGACCAGATTTCTGTGAACTGCTATTGGATTACTTTGATGATGGTAACCATCTGCCTGCATTCCTACATATTAGCTGATTTTAGGGTCCTAATTACTATGCCTTATCCATCTATCCAGACAAATGATTGCATCTTACTGAATTCTCTCAATGATTATGATATGCTCGGGTCACCCCCTTTTGCCTGACATCGTTTTTATGATAACTTTGGACTATCAGGTTGCTTGGACTTCCCCCATCCCCACCCCACAAAAGTTATGTTTAATTTCTGCTTCATTTACAGTTTTTTTTTTGTCATTATATGATATGATAAATGGACCTAAAAGTCAACTGTTTTCTAAGTCTGAACAAAGAAAATCCCCTGCTTAAAGAAAAATATAAACCTATGATAACAGGAAAACTTGATATGCATTATAAAATAAAATATATATTTTGTGAGAAAATGCTGCTAATTTTAGTACTTGCAATCTACAACACAGAAACAATTCAAGTTAAAATTGGATGGTGTAACCAGAAAACCTTGGAATTTCAAGAGGTTGTCAAATCCTAATGCTGACCAACACAGAAGCAAAGGTAACAATCAGTAGAATCAATGGAAAAGAGGTCAAGAGTAAAAGCCAACCTGTATGAATGAGTAATGAATTCATCCTTCTCTTTCTGTATCAGTTCTAAAAGCTAAAGTTCAGCCTAATTTATTACACATCACAGCCATTAATAAATAGTTGGGTTCATATTTCATTCCTGTGGTTTGAATTTGGTTGTCATTGGCATTTAAACCAAAAGTCACCATCAGTAATTTCAACCAACTTATTTATACGATGTATTTTAAAATTAGAATATTAATTAAAGAATAGCTCATGAATGATCTTGTTCATTCCAGATTCTAGTGGGAGTAGATCAATATGTATGTCTAAATATATATAGCTCTTTCTACATAAACATTTCTATTTATTTCCAAGCCTATATATATTAAAACTAGAAAATTAATGTAATTACTTAATAATTAGACACTGGTGAATACATTTATTCTTTAATAATACTATAGGGTCACCTGAAATTTTCCTTTGCTATTTTGATGTTTAGATCTGGAACTATTTTAGATTATCTAAATAAATAGCTATTTCTCACATTACATTAAGCCATGTTATAATGCTCTGAATTACCTCCTGCTACCCTTCTGTGCCCCTGAAAACCAGGAAATTGCCTAGGCCTGGTATTCACAATAAATGGGCTCAACTGCCTGCATGTTGATGGCTGAGAAACAATGAAACAGTCAATAAGATTAAATATTAGTGACTAAAATATTCTAATTGTTAAGAAAGCAATCAGTGAAAAACAGCACAAGAAGACAAACAAAAATCAATCACTAGACTTGAAAAACATCAACTCTTTGGCCCAAAGCACAAGCCTCATGAATACCATTTATCATCCTGTTCTTCCCATGAAGAAAGACAATGTGCACAAGACTCTAACATACTGTTTTTCTAAAAGCCAACAATTTACAGTCATTCAGGTGCACAGATTATAGAACCAAAAACAATCTCACAAGGTCGTTTCATATTAAAATGTTTTTCTTCTCTTATTAATGCAGCTTGGGTATTAGAAGTCCTCGGGGGAAACTCCACTCTAAAGAGAAAAGCATGCATTCGTAAAATGTCCAGCTAAAATAAGTGGACTTTCTCTAATGTTTCAAAAATATAACTGCATTGAAATGACCCTTGAGCCACCAATGTGAGAGAAGATGTCACTGGACTGTGAATCTCTTGAAAAGTTGGCAGGGTGGTGTAGCTAAAAGTATCTCAGTACCAATTACTCAGTGCAAAGTTGAATTTAATTGGGTCAAGCAAACATCCCTCTTTCTCATTCCCCTGTCCAAGTAACTCACAACTTTCAATCTCCAGAGTGCAGTTCTGTTCATCCAGAGGATATCTTCGTAGATCCATCATACATGCAGCTGTGGTTGTGATCCTGTCAGGATGAGAGAGAAAAGACAGCTTCATAAGGATGATGACTTTCATTTCCAGGCTTCTCAGCCCCAAATCATGTTTACTGGTTGACATCAAAATTTTGTGATTAAAATTTTTGAAGGTGAGCAGATTAAGATCAAGTCTTTCTTTGCTGCCGTTAGGTGTGTGAGCTGGCTCTGGCTTATTTATCTCCATAAGCCTAGGTCCCCTCATCAATCAAAACACCTACTGCAGGGCGCCTGGGTGGCTCAGATGGTTAAGCGTCTGCCTTCGGCTCAGGTCATGATCCTGGGGTCCTGGGATCGAGTTCCGCATTAGGCTCCCTGCTCAGGGGGGAGCCTGCTTCTCCCTCTGCCTCTCTCTCTCTCTGTCTGTCCGTCTCTCATGAATAAATAAATAAAATCTTTTTTTTTAAAGATTTTATTTATTTGAGGGAGACAGAGAGCATGAGAGGGAGGAGGGTCAGAGGGAGAAGCAGACTCCCTGCCGAGCAGGGAGCCCGATGCGGGACTCGATCCAGGGACTCCAGGATCATGACCTGAGCCGAAGGCAGTCGCTTAACCAACTAAGCCACCCAGGTGCCCTAAATAAATAAAATCTTAAAAAAAACCCCCACCTACTGCAAAGGATGGCTATGAGGAGTAAAAGAGATAATGTGTTCAAACTCCTAGCCTGGTGGCCCATTCTTAGTTCTCCACAAATGATGGTCATGTTACAGCTGTTACTATCCCATGGTCCTTCCTATACTTACTAAAGCAATGTCTGTGACAATATTTACAGCAAGTCTGGCCTTATGAGTAGGAGGAGATCAACACTATGCATCAAAACCTACCTCCCTCTCCTACTATAACCTAGTAATAAAACAACAACAAAAATGACAAAAACAATAAAACCCATCCTCCATGACATTTGGGGCCTCACATTCATTCCCCACTATTAGCGAGACTTGTTGGATTCATCTCTGAGATCCTCACCTACCTATACTCAAGCAGGTAATGTATAACCAGTAAAGAAACACTATCCTAGGATTGGTGTTCACACCATATTTACCACCTTCTGTTCTCTGCTCAGCTTATTTGTTTATACAAATCCCAGGACCTTGACTCTAGATATCCTACTGGGGTTTCTATTATCCCTCCATTTTCTCTTGCCTGTATAAGTTTCCTAGAATGTGGAGTCTGAGAGTAACTTAAATTCCTATGGTTAGTCCATGCTTACAAACATTTGGTATCACTTAGGAATTGACAAAGTACTTTTCTTAAAAAACAAATTACATGATCCTTCTCCACAAAGTAATGTCTAACCATAATTTAAAGAATTCAAAAGATTAAAATTTAGTTATGTTTCCTTTCTTCCTTAATCCCCAAGAGCTACAACATTGGACATTTTCCATAAATACTCTGTATGCAAAAGAAAACAGGTATGTCTTCTTAGGGGGAAACTTCTTAGATAACATCTACTATGTCCCCTGTTCTGGACCTTGCTTGTTTTCATTAACAATGCATCTTGGATTTGATTCCTTGTCAGTAAATAATAAGCCGTCTTAAAAAAAATTTAAGGTTCAGCTCTATGGAAATATCATGATTTATTTTTCAAATGACACTTCAGTGGGCATTTACCTCATTTCCTATTTTTTTACTTTTACAGATGAAGATGCTCTGAATATACTAATATACTCTACTATGTCTGGCTATATCTGTTGGCTGTTTCTAGAACGGGGATTGTTAGAAAAAATGGTATATACACTTAAAATTTTGCTACATCACCCTTCATAGAAGTTGTGCCAATTTATACTCCCATCAACAGTATATTTAAATTCAACAAGGTGTTTCTCAAACCTATGTTTTTTTTTGTGGCTGCTAAGACGAGTTATTATTTTGGTCATTTGTGTTAACCTAACAGGCACCTTCTTAAAAACATTATTAGGAAATACACTAACTGTTTCCAATTTCTCTTTGGCTTTCCTTACAAAAAATGAAAGTTTAGGGGCCCTGGCGTAGCTGAGTCGGTTGAGTGGCGGACTCTTGATTTCTGCTCAGGTCATGATTTCAGGATCCTGAGATAACAAGCCCCAGGGGCTTTGTGCTCAGTGGGGGGCGGAGGGGAGGGTCTGCTGTAGGTTCTCTCTCTCCTTCTCCTTCAGCCCTTCCCCTCACTTGTGCTCTCTCTCAAATAAATAAATAAATAAATAAATGTTTTTTAAAAATGGAAGTTTAGCAAGATGAACATTTGCATGTTCCCTTTGAAGCCTTTCTTAGACAGGATGTTGGTCAATTTAATCAGATTTATTTTAGCTTTATATAAGAGCAAAAGGAATTTTAAAATTCAATTAAAAATTTCTTCCAAGTACTTTACAAAAAATATGAAAACTAGTTGTATTCCGGAATTTAGCACATAAAAGTATTTTACCAGATTCCTTATTGCTTCCCACTCCCATTATCACACGAATTAATTTTTCCACTTAATAATATATCATTAATTATCTTCTGTTGTCTGGAAATACAATTCCACAACATTATTTTTATGGCCTGCATATATCTCAAATACCCTCAATAAGATGACACAATGAATATTTAAAACGCTTTAAAAATCATCTATGTATTTTACTATATTCTTTGTTTAATAGCTGCTTATGAATTAAAAAATTCAGGAGGATATGAACATTCCCTAGAAATTAATAGGGTGGCCAGCCATGATTTAGCCAGTAATTCTCAACCAGGGATACTTTTTCCCCCACAGGGGACATTTGGCAATATCTGGAGACATATATTTGATCATCAGACTGGGGGCGGAGGCTTGCTACTGGCATCCAGTGGGTAGAGGCCAGGGCTGCAGCTAAACATCTTACAATGCCTAGGATAGCACCCAACAATAAAGAATTATCTATTCCAAAGTGTCAGTAGTGCCAAGGTTGAGAAACCCTGCTACAATGGTGGTTTTCAAACATTTTTCCTCTGAGGATAATTTTAATAAAATGAAATCTTCTAGAGAACCTCAATATATAAAACACAAATGAAATGAAAGCCGTATTTTGTTAATATAAAATTACCTCATAAATTCAAATGTTGACATCTATTTTAATGAGCACAGAATTTGAAAGCAGGGGGTACAGTGAGAATTATGATCTTATATCTCTCTCAGCACCAATTATTTTTGTATAGTATCAAAAAATCCTAATAAGGATTTTTTTTTTTGTATAGTATCAAAAAATCCTAATAAGGAAGGAAACACTTACTTCTAAAATCTTATAGGACTGGCTATAGGCTTCCCTGAATTAGCAGGGGGGAACCCCCAGGTTATCAAGGAACCTCCTCTATAATCAATCACACTTTTACAAAGGTTCAGATACATCCCTAGATGATTGGACTCTGGCAGGTGTTTAATATGGATTAAAGGGAAGCTTTACTTGTTGCTTCATGCTCTGCATAAGTTAATCTGGTAGCAAAAGTTAATACTATGATGGTCTTGAATGCATTAAAATGTGGCATAGGATGCATTACAGTGTGTATGCTTCTTATTATAGCTTAAAATAATTACAATATTTAAAAATCAAATTAAAATAAAATATTTATGGAACTATGGAAGAGCTTTAGGGATACTTGAGAGCATCATTTGAGCCCTCTTGGTCAGCATACCTCACTTAATTGACCTCATTTTCAGACATGTGTCATCAAGTAAGTGAACCACATCATGTCAGAAGAAGGACATGCATCTTTTGTCGAATTACTGATTCCCATGTTGTGAAGCTCTGGAATTTTTACAAAGCAATTTGAAAAGCCAACAAAGCATTGTATATAAATGAATAACAAATGTTTCATAGATATGTGTCCTAGAGTTGTGAGTGACCAAAAAAAAAAAATCTTTTTTAAAGCATAACTGAATTTACTGTTGCTACTTGTTATGATCAATCCTTTTAGCAATCAATAGATATAATATCTAATTGATAATCACTTTGGGAAACTATATATCACACCAGAGGCTTGCCCATGATCTAATGATTTCTCAACTAGTATCACCTGGACCAGTTTACTTCTGCCTCAAGTTTCATTATGAAACCGAGGAAAGTAAAGTAATCACAACTCAAAGAGGGAACTAGCTCTAGGAACTAGAGCTGTGAAAAGTGCCTGACTTTCTCTGAAGAACACTGACATTAGTGAAATAACTTCCTTCTTGGGATCTATCTGTTCCAAATTTCAAATACTCAAGAGGATTTCATTCGCTCAACTTGGATTAGGTGCCAACTCTTCCAAATTATTTAGTAAAAGCTGGAAGGAAAGTTGCACTCATATAAATGTTGTCACCAGGGACCCATAACGGTCTCTTATCTCAAGAAAGAAGGAATCATTGAAGCTCAGGCAGGGACCCCTACATACACAGGAATTCATAAATTTATGTTGTGGCCTGTAGAAATGTATGTAACTGAGTATTGATCTCTGCTAATTTAGGGGTTTGGCATTTCTAGATTTTGAAATACTTATGGCTAAGTGAGTAGAGTGTCCTGAGCTCTTTATGAGAAAAAAAAGGCTGAGCAAGGATTCCCAGGATCATCAATAAAAAGAGAAATGTCCCTGGGCATCAGCTCTTCTGTCTTCTGGGTGAGAAGCAACAATGAATACCTCTAAGAATGACTGTTTCCAATGTTTCCATTTGTTCACTTTGCCAGATGTAATTGCTCAGCAGTGGTTAGTCACCTCCACAACTGATTAACACATCCATATGGAAATGTACTCACAGTGTGGCTGAAGCAGCCTGAAATTCTAAATCTTCTATGGAATCAAAGGTGCCAAAAATCGCAAACTGAATGGGTTGAGAGCTTCAAGACTGAAGTGGTTTTTGAATTTTGTTTTTAACTTTCACACCCAAGTCATTCATTCTGAGTGTGTGAAGACATTATTATTGGTTGATAGCAAATGAAAGTACAATAGAGTGGTACCAGCTATAGGTAAAAGCCTTAACTGACTGTTTCTCTGAACACAGACTTCCCAGAGGTACAGTTTCATG